ACTCCACATGCACCATATAAGCATGCAAGATTTGAGCCACCCATCAAACCAGTACCATTCCCGTACGCACTGGAATGCCCACAGCACGTTCAAGAACAGTGTAAGGAGAATACAACTAGATCACATGTAGTTGACTTTCTTAATTTACCATACTTCGGACAACTAAACATACTAACTCACACCAGTTCAACAATGGGCCCAATGATAAAGAATGTCTCACAACCAAGTGTAGAAAATTCATGGAAAATTATCAGATTAGGAATGCGGTATTGGACATACCCATTTGTATTAACAGAAACCATTCCACAAGGATTCAAACAGACAAGAATACATTATGGGCTTAATACTAAAAACACTCTCCAGTGCAAACATATTTCTAACACTTGCCTGGTTGGACTACATAAACCTGGGATTGAAGATATACAAGAGGAATCACTCAACCAGTGCAGTGGAATGCAAAAATAGCCATCATCTGCATCCCACAAATCAATATGACAGTATCACCATCCTTCAGCGCCAAATTTAGATGGCATGCACATTTGGGAAGTGAATCAAGGACATGGGTCAACAGAACCGTCCAACTGACAACAAAAAAACAAAACCGACATACAGAAAAAAAGAATTATAGACAGAAACATGACAATAGAATACACACTCAATGAGGAAAATCTTAACTTCACCTTTAACTCAACTGGACTCTGCAGAACCAACCTTGTCCACATTGCTCAACTAAATATCACAGAAATTCATTAATGTCACTAAACTACTGGAAAAAATAGATGAAAAATCACAAGGTAGTGGCACTTAAATAAGAACATTTCCAATCCTTGACTCACTATCCTTCCATGGTGCCAGATCAACCTACAAACCAAACCCTGAATGCATGCCTCCTGACTATGCATTCCTAGTCTGCGATGACTCACAAAATCAAAACACAGCAGTCCTCGACCCGCATGTACCACTGGACGTGAAAATGACAAACACCACTTCCAGGGGCTGCAAGAACAGCACTCGGTACAATACTGCATGTAATACGAACATCACTGATAATTCCATCCCAAAAATCCAAACCAAACCCTCACAGCTACCGAAGTGTCCAGAGAACAGTTCACCAACATTGACGACTGTACAATATCACCTATCACAGGCAGACAACAATCAGCCCACTTTTAACAACATATGCACAAAGACTCCATAACATCCTATCATAGCAATTATCAACCCTACCTTACTCTTCAATTACTAGCACCCCATTACGGGAAATGGACATAATGATTAAAGAACCTATTCTCTTTTTTTTAATTAAAGATTTATTTATTTATTTATTTGAAAGGCAGAGTTGCAGAGAGGCAGAGGCAGAGAGAGAGAGGTCTTCCATCCGCTGGTTCACTCCCTAGATGGACACACTGGCCGGAACTGTGCTGATCCAAATCAAGGAGCCAGGAGCTTCCTTTGGGTTTCCTCCATGGGTGCAGGGGCCCAAGCACTCGGGCCATCTTCTCCTGCTTTCCCAGGCCACAGCAGAGAGCTGGATCGGAAGTGAGGCAGCCAGGACTCGAACCGGTGCCCAAATGGGATGCCGGCACTGCAGGTGGTGGCTTTGCCTGCTACGCCACACACCAGCCCCGAAGAACCTATTCTTAATCATACATTACCAATTGGAAACTGGCAAAAGATCCGCAACCAAAAAATCCACGTTTTTCCAATTTCCTTCGGAAAATGGTACATTAAGAGGATCATAAAAACCATGTGGAAAGAGGACAATTTAACAGTATGCACAAACTAACATCCACACATTACTAAGCGGGATATGCCTGGAAAGACAGTATTGGTAACTTAACCATCAGAGAAGCACCAAGGATACCTCCCAACCAAAAATCCCTCTTACAGTCATTATAAATCCCCAAATAACTAAAATAAAAGTAACTTTTTCATAAAAACATCAATACCACAAGAAAATGTAAACTATTGCCAAAAAGACGGATTTATAAATATCCCAATCTTACCAAAAAAAAATTCAATAAACCACAAAAACAACTACTAGGAATCTTTGAATGGATTGGAGAAATTGCAAATGCAGCAAAAACTGAGGGACTCAGAACAGAACTCACTACGCTTACCAAGGTAAGAACTGATCAAATAACGCAGCCACGCCCCATCCACCTCACCCAGAACCGTGATGCCCTGCTAAATAACCTACAAACACAACATACAATATCTAGACACCATTCAAACACTATACCAGAGCCAACGACAAGCCCATGAAAAAACTGATGGACAACTACCGATGATCGGTAAACAAACCACCTGTCTACAAGGGTGACGCTGAGTGGATCAAGCCGCTGACGAAGTCAGACAGATCTTTACAACTGGAATAGCACGAGGAACTCCCACCTCACAAGGCTTCTTACACCCTGCAGAAGAACCTGGAGGCCCACATGAAACCTGGGAAATCCACCTACCACAGATTTCAACAACAAACAAGGTTACTGCGCACAAGACGATGCTCACTCCAAAGAGATTCCGGCAGGAGCACCAGCTGAATGCACTATTTGGATAGACGGACAAGAATCTAAGACGGGTAGTCCCAGCCACACATCACCATCCCTACGTATCACAACAAGACAGCTAGAGTAGCAGGCCAGGGAAAGTTGATTTATTATATGCTCTGAGGAAAACACCACAGTCACCATTTATGGCCGCCCGGGAGACCAGGAGAAGCACCTGCCTCCTGGCTTTGGATCAGCACCGTGCGCCGGCCGCAGCGGCCATGTTGGGGGTGAACCAACAGAAAAGGAAGACCTTCCTCTCTGTCTCTCTCTCTCTCACTGTTCACTCTGCCTGTCAAAAAAAAAAAAAAAAGGTCACCATAAAACATAAATGTATACAAGCTCTAAGCAGGTGGGATGTCACCATGAACAACAAATCCGAAATTCCTATGTCACAACAAGAGAAATAAAAGTTGCAACTGGCAACCTAAGAGCCAAAGAATAATTATGGCAATCTATACTAGAAAGACTAATAGGCCAGTGCCACGGCTCATTAGGCTAATCCTCCGCCCACGGCGCCGGAACCCCAGGTTCTAGTCCCGGTCGGGGCGCCAGATTCTGTCCCGGTTGCCCCTCTTCCAGGCCAGCTCTCTGCTGTGGCCCGGGAGTGCAGTGGAGGATGGCCCAAGTGCTTGGGCCCTGCACCCCATGGGAGACCAGGAGAAGCACCTGGCTCCTGGCTTCGGATCAGAGCAGCACCGGCCGTAGCGGCCATTTTGGGGGTGAACCAACGGAAGGAAGACCTTTCTCTCTGTCTCTCTCACTGTCTAACTCTGTCAAAAATTAATTAATTAAATAAATAAATTTAAAAATAAAGACAAATAAAACTAAACGACCATATTAAACACAATTGTAAAAGCCCTAGAAACCTTACAACGAGAAACCATGAAACACCTAAAAATGGCTCGTAAAAATGACATTCGGCTTCCAAAAGTGCTACACATCCTGAAAGACAAAATCGCCTGTGGTGAGTACGGTGAGAACACCCACAGGGGACGCAGCGTGGCTGGTTCCGTGTGCAGAGCTGTCACCCCCGGCACACCTGCCCGGCACACCTGCCTGGCGCACGGTCGCCCTTGGGAATATTTCAAGGCTTTGTTAAGGGAACCCTCACGGTTCTTGGAATAACTGTCGCATTCTTTGTTATTCTCAAATTATGTAAATATCTACTTAATATTCTGATGAACAAAGTTGATGAACACGTTAAACTGAGCACACACCGTGCTGCCTGAAAATGAGGAAGCATATGAAAACACGCAACCCTGAACTCATCAAAACGAAGGCGTGAGGAACCAGGAAATCTGTGAGTGATCAATTTAGACTCCTGAAAACATGCAAGTTCACACCCCGCGGCGTGACAGACCAACTCAAAACGCAGGTGTGCGATCTAAAAGCCCCGAACGTGCTAAATAGATCCTAAGATGTTCCAGGAAGCACGAGGCTTCCGGGGGTCAGTCTCTGGGGTCCGGGCGTGGGTTGCGAGGAGCAGACGGAACCTGCGCTCCCCCGCGGGACGAGGCGCCCACGCAGCCGGCTGCACCTGAGCCCCGAGACCCCCTGGAGCAAGCGAGGCAGCGTGCAGAGACCCTCTGGGAGCGGGGCCGGCGCGGGCTGACCAGCCGCGAGGGACAGCCTCCCGGGACCCGCGTGGACACGCGGCCCGGCCTCGGGACCTGCCACGGCCCCGAGCGCTCTGAGCACCTGACGCCGCGCGCTGATTTAAAAGTCCTCGTCCCCTGGGGGCACCGGGCCGAGTAGGGCGGTCCGAGGCCCTTCCGAAACTCTTGGAAATCCTTCCCCGAGCAAACACCCGCGGGCCACTCACCTGGGCAACCTGGTTTAGACAGCCCAGGTTCCCGCCTCCGAGCCGCCCAGCCCTCGGCCCCGCCCCCGCGCCAGGCCCGCCCTCGGATACGCCCCCCGAGCCAGGCCCGCCCCTGGCCCCGCCCCGCCGCGGCCCCGCCCCCGCCTCAGGCCCCGGCCTCGAGCGCCCCTCATTGGCCCAGCGCTCGCCGTGGAGAAAGTGGCCGGAAGCCAGGCCCGCCCACCGGCCCCGCCCCCGAGCCCGCCCAGCCAGCGGCCCCGCCTCCGTCCAGGCCTCGCCCCCGAGCGCCCCTCATTGGCCCAGCGCTCGCCGTGGAGAGTGGCCGGAAGCCGGCGCGGCTCCGGTCCCCGAGCCAGGCCCGCCCACCGGCCCCGCCCCCGCCCCCGCCCCCCCCGCCGCGGCCCCGCCCCCGAGCCCGCCCCGCCCGCAGCCCCGCCCCCGTCCAGGCCCCGCCCCCGCGCGCCCCTCATTGGCCCAGCGCTCGCCGGGGAGAGTGGCCGGAAGCCGGCGCGGCTCGGGTCCCCGAGGTAAGCCTCGCGGCCAGGGCCAAGGTCGTCCGCCGGGCCTGGGGAGCCGCCCTCTGTGTCCTGGGCGGCCGCGGCACTTTGCCCTGGTGGCTCGCGGCGGGAGGGTGCAGAGCGGCCGCCGCCTGGACGCGCGGGCGCTGGGCGGCGGGAGGCGCGGCCGGCCTGGGCTCCGAGCCGGGCGACGTGGGGTCCGGGACTGGGCCCTCCTGCGTGGCTGTTTTTGCGACCCAAGCCCGTGCTCTATTTTTAAAAACCCGTTTCGCCCGTGTGCCCGTGCACACGCCAGCTTTGGGAGCGTTTACGAGTGACCGTATCCTCCACTTGGAGTCGTCCGGGGCCAGACTCCTGACGGAGGCAGAGTTTCGTCCTTTTCCGGAAAAAAACAAAACAACCCCTCCCCCTCAGAACCGCTAAGGCTTATTATGGGCTGGCGTTACCGAACCCAGTATCCCAGGGTTCGGACGGGGCTCACGGTGCCGCCTGCAGGTTGGAGGTGGCAGCGTGGCTGGGCCTGAGCCCGCCGGGTGCACCGGCCGTGATGGCCGCATCTGCTCGCGGGGTCCGCGGGGTCCGGTGTTGGCGCCCCCGCCCCGCCTGCTGCCTTTGCGGTGCCTGCTCCGCGCCCCCGCCCACTGCGGGGAAGACCCTGGCCTCGCGTCCTGAACGCCGGGCTTTCTGTCTGGATCATTTCTTGTGTCCCTCACCCATGTCCTGCCTCCTCCCACTGCATGTATGCTTAAAAAAAAAAGATTTATTTATTCGTTTGAAAGGCAGAGTTACAGAGAGGCAGAGGCAGAGTGAGACAGAGAGGTCTTCCATCCACTGGTTCACTCCCCAAATGGCCGCCAAGGGCCTGGGCCGAGCTGACCTGAAACCAGGAGCCAGGAGCTTTTTCCAAGTCTCCCACATGGGTGCAGGGGCCCAAAGACCTGGGCCATCTTCTACTGCTTTCCCAGGCCCTAGCAGAGAGCTGGATCGGGAGTGCAACAGCCGGGACTCGAACCAGCGCCCACATGGGATGCCGGCACTGTGGGTGGCGGCTTTAACCTGCTACGCCACAGCCCAGCCTGTGTGCTTTTAAAGTTTATTCATTCTCTCTCTCTCTAACTTTGCTTTTCTGACTTTCCTTCTCTCTGTGTAACTTTGCTTTTCAAATAAAATAAATGTTTTTAAAAGTTTATTTTTAATTATTTGAAAGGCACACAGAGAAAGGTCCGTGTTCCAGCCACTGGTTTGTTGTACCTGAAACGTCCAGTTCTGACCGTTAAGTCTGCCAGGAGCTGAGCTAATGCCTGGAGCAGCCAGAGCCTGGCCAGGTCAAAGTCTGGAGCCAGGTCCCCTACTTGAGGGGCAGGAACCCAAGTCCTTGAGCCATCCTCCGGGGAAGCTGGGTTGGAAACAGAGGCTTGACTTGAACCTGGCACTGTGTGCTGCGGGATGTGGGAGTCCCAGGTGGCAGCTTGACCCGCCGTGCCATGAGGCCTGCACCTGCGTGTGTGTGGAGAGACGTTTGCCAGCGCAAACACTGTTGATCGGCCAGGGCAAAGGCCGTTTCAGAACCTGGCTGTGCACTTCGGCCTCCTGCCACCTCTGCCTTGTATGCTCTCTGCTGACTTACGTCCCAGGGCCAAGCTCACGTGGCCTTCCTAGGAGCCAGCACACCCGCCTGCAGGCCTCTCCCGGCCTTACAGCTGCACCGAGCCCCACGGCGATGCGAGCCAGCGAGAAGGACTTGGAAAAGGCAGTGAGCCAGCTGCAGCTCCTGAAGGAGGACCCGGGGAACGCAGTGAAGCTGCGACTCTACGCCCTGTACAAGCAGGTGAGCGCCCGAGGGCTCCGCCTCTACGCACTGTGTAAGCAGTGAGCGCCGAGAGCGCTGGAGCCCATGACTCCTGAAGGAGACCAGCCGTGTGTGCTAACCTGCAGCTGCGTTTGAATCGCGGCCTCTCCTCCTCAGAGCGTGTGTGTGTGTGTGTGTGTGTGTCTATGTCTGTGTGTGTGTGTATGGGGGTTTGGGGTCCAGGAGGCCTTGAACCAGTTAAGGAACACAGTAACCCCTCAGGACCACTGCCAAGTAAAAGAGACTTAGATGAGATGACACTGGAATGCGTAGACCTTAGTTGGCTCCTGATTAGAACAAACCAACTGAAAAGCAGATTTTGAGACAATTGGGGACATTTGGATAAGGACTAAGTGTTAGGAGATACCCAGGAATGGTGTCACCATTATATAAAAAAAAGTTGGGGAGGGGGGCAGTGCTGTGGCGTAACAGGTAAAGCTGCCACCTGCAGTGCCAGCATCCCAGACAGGCACCGGTTCAAGTCCCAGCTGCTCCACTGCTGATCCAGCTCTCTGCTATGGCCTGGGAAAGCAGTAGAAGATGGCCCAAGTCCTCGGGCCCCTGCACCCGCATGGGGGACCCGGAAAACACTCCTGGCTCCTGGTTTTGGAATGGCCCAGCTCTGGCTATTGCTGCCACCTAGGGAGTGAACCAGTGGATGGAAGACCACTCTCTCTCTCTCTGCCTCTGCCTCTCCATAATTCTGCCTTTCAAATAAATAAATAAATCTTTTTTTAAAAAGTTGGTATTTTTTAGAAATTTATAGTAAATATGTAGGGGTGAAATGGTGAGATGTTTGAGATTCACTAAGCAAAAAAGAAGAAAAAAAAGGATAGATGAAGCAAGCAAGGCAAAATGTGACACTTGTTGAATTGGGTTAAGGGGTATTGGGAATTCATTATAATAGTCTATAATCTATATCTATATATATATATATATATATATAAAATAGTCTATACCGGGTGTATGTTTGGGAAAAGTCATAGAATTTTAAAATGAAAGCTTTTGTAGATTTATGTATGTATTTATTTGAAAGGCAAAGGGACAGAAAGAGAAGGAGAGACAGGGAGATCTGTCTGCTGGTTCACTCCCCATGTGGCTGAAGTCAGGAACTGGCACACCATCCGCGTCTCCCGCGTGGGTGGCAGGGACCCAAGCGCTTGGACCCTCTTGCACTGCTCTCCCAGCACACTAGCAGGAAGCTGGATCAGGAGTGGAGGCGTTCACATGGGATGCCAGCATTCCTGCAGACCCAAAACGCAACCTTTTAACCCCCCTAGCATGCGTGCCTCTCTGGGCTGCTGTTACCCGACTTCCCATCCTGTGATTGGCATGAGCCTCTCTTACTGAATTTTTTCTAAGACTTTATTATTTATTTATTTGAAAGGCAGAGTTACAGAGAAAGAGATCTTCCATTCTCTGGGTCACTCTCCAGATGGCCGCAATGGCTGGCCCTTGGCCAGGCTCAGGCTGAAGCCAGGAGCTTGATCAGGTGTCTGTGTGGGTGGCAGGGGGCTTAGCACTTGGGCCATCTGCTGTTGCTTTCCCAGGCCATTAGCTGGGAGCTGGATCAGAAGCAGAGCACCAGGGATTTGAACCGGCGCCCATGTAGGATGCCGGCGTTGCAGGCGGGGCTTTACCAACTACCCACAACGCCCACCCCACCTCACTCACTTCCGTACACAGGTGTGTTTCATAAAGATTTTAATCTGGCCTACAGAGAGAGACCTGGCTTTGCCCCCTGGCTTCTGGAGGTCATCTCTAAGCCCTTGAACTATCGTGCCTGATGGGGATGCTTGTGTGGGGTCATCTGACGATGTGACTTAGCAAGGAGGCTTCGAGTTGCACAGTCATGGGTGCACGATGGGCCCCCCAGTAGAAACTCTGGACCCCGAGGCGTATGTCCAGCCATTGGTTCTGGGAGAGCGACGCTGCCCTGACCCCGTGGGGAGGGCACTGAAGATGTCCGTGTTTGCTGCTTCCCTCGGCTGATGGCCTTCTCCCATTAGAAACCATAAGCACGAGTGTAATGTCTCATGAGCCTTTCTAGAAAATGATGGAACTCGTGGTGGTCTTGGGAGCACCTTGTGTCAGAGCGAGTAGGCAGGGCCAGCGCTGTGGTGCCAGCAGGTTAAGCCGCTGCCTGTGACGCCGGCGTCCCGTGTCTGAGCGCCAGTTCGAGTCCCAACTGTTCTGCTCCTGACCCAGCTCCCTACTGATGCACCTGGGAAGGCAGTGGACGCCACTCACAGGGGAGACCAGGATGCAGTTCCTGGCTCCTGCCTCCTGCCTCCTGCCTGCCAGCCCTGGACGTTGCTGCCATTGAGACATAAGGAGAGTCACAAGATAAGGGAAACCCTCACTGTGTGCGCTGTGTCCCCCCGCTTCTCAGCTGGCTGTGCAAAGCCACAGCCTCCTTTGCTTTGTTTTTCACAGCCTCATCTTTCCTCTTTTATCTTAGTGTATTTAAACTCTTTGAACAGAGTTTAAATGGCCATTTCTGAAAAGTAGCTGAGTGGGGTATTTCATTCTTCTCAAAATACTCACTGCGTCTACCTTCAAACAAATGAAACTTCATTGCTTTTCACTTGCGTGTCCTCCAGTTAAATGTCCCCAGGACCCGAGGCTCTGACAGCCCCACCCAAGCCCCCAGACTTGAGCTCTTGGCCAAGTGACCAGCAGTCCACCACTGGGTCAGGGTGTTCTTTATACCTTTAGATGAGCTGTCAGAAGGTGCTGTAGGTCCCCAGTGTCTGTGAGCAATGCCTGGAGATGCCAGTTTGTCTGAATGTTTTGACTGTGACGAATGGAATCATCAGTACAGAACTCATGAACCGTTAAAATTCTTTGGAATGCACTTTCCCCAACCGTGTGTCTAGCGTTATGTTTATAGTCAGGCTTATTTTAGGGACTGAGCGCCAATAGCACCTTTTGTCTCTGTAGTCTTTTTTCCTGTTTGTGCATTTTCCGGAAGAGGGTAAGAGGAAAGTCTGGTGGGTAAGACCTTGTGAAAGGACTGGGAAGCAGCTGCCGTGCCAGCTGTGGGTATTTGGGACTATAAATATTTAGGATTCTAGTTCGCATGAGCATTTGACCTTTAATCTCCCCTCTCCTTTTCACAGGCTACTGAGGGACCTTGTACTATGCCCAAACCAAGTGTGTCGGACTTTATCAGTAAAGCTAAATGGGATGCATGGAATGCCCTTGGCAGCCTGCCCAAGGTAATTCACTTGTGACTCTGTTTTTATTTGGTTTGTGGGACTTGCAAAGGGGGTTGGGTTGCTGCCTCTCGTGGAGCCACTGTCGGTGCCTCTCGTGGAGCCACTGTCGATGGTGCCTTTGAGATACGGGTGTGCCCCACTGACCCCGAGCCTCTTTTCTGTGTTCACTGCAAGGTGCTATTTATTAGTAAGCGTCTTAGGGTGCTTATTCATTGACGCCGGGCAGACGCTGTTTGCCATCTCCTCTTCAGGAAACTGCCAGGCAAGACTATGTGGATTTGGTGTCCAGTCTGAGTTCCTCATCAGAATCCTCAAGCCCCGTGCAGCCTGGAGCCAGCAGCAGATCACCTGGATATGAAACCCTGGTGGTGACCTCCGAGGGTGACATCACGAAGATCATGTTCAACCGGCCCACCAAAAAAAATGCTGTCAACACTCAGGTAGCGTTACCTGCCAGGGGGTTGTTCCTACTTTTCTTTCTTTATTTGCTTTATTCAAAAATTGTAGTTTTAGCATCGCTCCTATTCCTATGGTATCTCTGGTTTGCTTTGTGCAGGGAGATGAGTCGTCCTCAGACAGCAGGGTTAGGTGTTCTTTGCTTAGACTTACGGGCTTCAGGGAAGTCCTGCGTACCCAGAAGGCACTGCAGCTTTCCTGTTAATGGAAGCACAAATCAGCACATTAATGTCGGTACAATATGTGTTGCTATAAGAGCGTGCGTGGAGGCCTCGTGGTGGCCAACGCGGCCCCCCGGAAATGTCTTCCCATGCCTGGACTGCAGAGTGCTCACAGGAGTTTATCTTCTACAAGTAGAGGGGAAAGGAGAGAAGGACTTCACCCTAGACAGAGCGTAGCTCAGCTCTGCTTGCAACGGCCCGTTTAACAGGGGCAACACTGAATCTTCCATAGAACTAGAATGATAATAAAAGAACCACTCATCCTCTCCCCTTTGGGAAAAAGCGGAGGAAGTTTATTGGCAACTTGCTGCTTGAACTTGGAGTCGAACCCAAGAGGGCTCTCACCGTTGGGCTTCTAATCTGCAGTTTCTAATCTACTGACTTGAAATACGCTTAAGAACTTCATGAAACTGCGAATGTGCCAGTTGATCCGTGTAACATTTAGCTCTTAAAATTCTGTTTCCATTTTCCCCTGGCCTGCTTCTCTGTAACCATAGGAATGGTAGCCACTCTCTACGGAGTGTCTAAATTTCCACACTGGATGTCTACTTAGTTCTCACGAGGAGCCCGTTATCATTATTTAACAATGGAATAATTCAATAGAGAAGTAACTGGCTCAAGTTCATAGAACTAATAACAGGAAAACCAAAACTGGAACCCTGATGCGTATCCACGTCTCCTAATCCTGACACTTGCCAGTCACCCTGGGGTGCCTGTCATCCTAACTATGAAGATAATGAGGTTGCTTCTCCGTTCCCTCCCTTGGTGGGAATGAGCACATCTTTATTCATGTACTAAGTAAAGCCCATGTCTTTTTTCAGCGTCTTTATGTCCGTAAGTATCAGGCCTCTTTACCATTCTTTCCCACATTGAAATCCCATCAGTGGTGGAAACTGTCCCTGTTTTAAGTGCATGGAAAGCTACAGCGACAGGTCTGGGCTCTCCAGGAGTGTGGCTGCTCTGTCCTTGAACACTGTCGCAGCGTCTCAGAAGTCGCCACCTTGCAGCCTCTGCCCACCCTTCCTGGGTGCTCACTGTGTCCCGAGGCCACAGCGCAGACGTTGTCTCCCGTGCCCTCTGACCACCTCCCACCCCACCGCCCTCGCCGGCTGTGCCTCAGCTTTTCGCTGCTTCTCTGGTCCCACTTGAGCCCTGTAATCTCCTGTGAATTCCGAAAGCTCAAGGCCTGTGTCTTGATTGTTCCTTCTGGAATAAAGTGGTTCTAGCTCCCCCGGCATCCGCTGCAGCACCTGGTACGGAATGTGCACCAACTGATTGTCAAAGAATGAACCTTCTTTAGAGCGCTTCGTGCTCCCACTTGGGTTTTTACATGCAGCCATCGTGAGTGTTTGGCACTTTGCTTAGGGCAGGCTGTGGCCGGACAGAGTAACCCACTGGGTGCTGCGTCTCATTTTCAGAGCTCGTTCTCCTCCTCTTCCCGCCCACACAGATGTATCACGAACTTATGCTGGCACTTAAAACTGCAAGCGAGGATGACTCCGTCCTGACTGTTGTGACAGGTAAGACACGTCCACAGACTCCTGGGCTCTGGGTCCTGTCCAGTACTGTGATAGTCTCAGCTGGGGCCTGGGGGAGCATCCAGCCCGTGGCTGGAGAAAGCCCATGAAATCCTTTGGTCTGGCCCTGCCAAGGCAGCCGTAGGTGGGACTTGAAATTCAGTCAATCTATAGCTGGCTGGTTTTTAAGTTGATTATTGTGTATGGCCTGTGAATGATGGTATCAATATCCAAAATGGCCCTTGACAGGATAAACGTTCCCCACCCCTGCCAAGTCATAAAAACATACACACGCGCACACGCACACACACACACACATATATGTATACACACACATATATAATACATATTTGTATATAAAATGGATGCAGGATATCCACTCCTTAACAGATAGCCATGAAAAGTTAAACATGTGCCTAAACACAGTTTGTATAACAGCAATCACAGTAGCCTAACTCACCGCAGGCAGACAGCTCAAATGTCCAGAACCAGAAGGGTAAATGAACAGACTGATGGCTCTTGATGCAATAAAAAGGAATGATAACTGCTACAAGAACGTGGATCAATGTTTTGAGTGTAGTTCAACAAAATAGAATAAGAGTGTGATTCTACAAACACGAAGTTCTGTAGTAGGTGAAGTTTTCATCGAATGTGATTTAAGCCTGGAAGTGACTGCTTTGAGACGGGTGAGGTGGCAGGAGAGAGCTCATGGGAGCTGCCTGGGATGATGGAGACGGGTGAGGTGGCGGGAGAGAGCTCATGGGAGCTGCCTGGGATGATGGAGACGGGTGAGGTGGCGGGAGAGAGCTCATGGGAGCTGCCTGGGATGATGGAGACGGGTGAGGTGGCGGGAGAGAGCTCATGGGAGCTGCCTGGGATGATGGAGACGGGTGAGGTGGCGGGAGAGAGCTCATGGGAGCTGCCTGGGATGATGGAGACGGGTGAGGTGGCGGGAGAGAGCTCATGGGAGCTGCCTGGGATGATGGAGACGGGTGAGGTGGCGGGAGAGAGCTCATGGGAGCTGCCTGGGATGATGGAGACGGGTGAGGTGGCGGGAGAGAGCTCATGGGAGCTGCCTGGGATGATGGAGACGGGTGAGGTGGCGGGAGAGAGCTCATGGGAGCTGCCTGGGATGATGGAGATGGGTGAGGTGGCGGGAGAGAGCTCATGGGAGCTGCCTGGGATGATGGGGACGGGTGAGGTGGCGGGAGAGAGCTCATGGGAGCTGCCTGGGATGATGGAGACGTCTGGTCAGCAGTTCCCCTGCACTGTATCTGAGGTTTTGCTTTCTGTGGTTTCATTTACCTGTGGCTAATTGTGGTCCAAAAATATTCATAAAAATTCCAGAAATCAGCAATGCATATAGTTTAATCTTTATGGTGTACTGTTATAGTTCTATTTTCTTATTGTTGGTAATCTCTTCTCGTGTTGTGTGTGTGTGTGTGTGCAGTCATCCATCAGTGTCTGTGGGGATCCTTTCCGGGACCCCCCAAGTAAACCACAGTTCACAGATGCTCAAGTCTCTTATATGAAAAGGCAGGGTATTTGCATATAACCTATGCACACCATCTTGAAGTCATCTGTGGATTCCCCTAATGCAGTGTAAATGCTACATGAGTGGTTATTACGCTGCGTTAGTCTCACTTCTTAATAAGAAAAACTGTCTGTACATGTTTAATACAGATGTGATTTTTTTCTAAATATTTTCCATCCACAGTTGGTTGAATCTAAAGAGGCAAACCTGTGCATATGGGAAAAACAGTCTTTGCTATAGTTTGGTGCTATCCAAAGTGTCAAGTATCCTCAGAAAATCTTGGCACGTATCCTACAAGGATAAGTTGGGGGGAGGGGGGACTACCGTGTCCCCTTTTGGATGGTGACCATGCAAGTATTCATAATAATCAAAACTTGTTAACATTTAAGAACTGGTCACTTTGTTTTATGTAAATAGTCCTCTAGTAATTACACACACAGTCTTTCAGTGGCTCTTAGGATAAAAACAAAACTTCTACAAAGCCCTGGGTGGTCTGGGCTACTCATCCTCACCCCATGCTAATTTCTTCGCCCCAACTTTTTCTCTGTCAGCCCGGGTGGCTCTTCTCCCAACCCATCATCCACCCCAGAACCTCGGATCTGCCGTGCCCACGCTTCTCTGTCCGGCTGATCTTGCCTCTGCTTTGGCTGCCGGTTCACTGTCCCTTCCTGTGCCTCTCCCTCTCATCAGAGTTGCGTTATCTCCATGGATCTGTGGATTCTTAAATCAATGCCCGGCTGTCTCACTGGTCCATAAAAGGACAGGAACTGTGTTTGCAGGGCCTGTCGCACAGCCTCTGTGAAGCAGACGCCTGGTATTTAGAGGACGAAGGGCCGAGCGGTGCATCTGGGAGTTTACTGTTTGCAGGTGACGGTGACTACTACAGTAGCGGGAATGATCTGACGAACTTCACTGATGTTCACTCTGGTGGACTTGAGGAGAAAGCGAAAAGCAGTGTCACTTTACTGAGGTGAGACGCTCGTGTGACTCATCAGAGTGATCTTGAGTTGAGCCCGAGTGAAGCACTTCCCTGTGCCAGCGAGGCTCATCTTGACGCTGGCCTCGCGTAGCTCTCCAGCCGTCTGCATCCACGGGCAGGTTTTCACCCCAGCACGTTGACGCGCGTCCCCTGTCCAGTCTCCTGCTCTGCACGAGCGTTCCCTGGAGGGCACGGGGTGACGTCCAGTCGCAGCCACAGTCCTCTTCCTGAGGCAGACGTTCAGCCAGCAGAACGGATGCCTCGGGCAGGAGTGCGGGGAGTGGGTGCCGGAAGTGGTCTCAGAGCCACAGGAAGCCGCCAGGCTTCAGCCTTCCCACCGGGTTTGTCCTCCTGAGTCTGTCCCACTGCGCGGGGTACTGCAGCACAGGCTCAGTGCCCTACCGTAACCTCTAAGACTGCAGCCGGCCTACAGCCTGCACGGGATACAGGATCTGAACCAAGCGCGGCCCAGAGGACCCACCCCATAGGCCTCCATCAGGTGCTGTCGAGCGGCTGTCCTGGGAGGATGCAGGGTGGCAGCCAGGGGTGGTCCCCAGGGAGCCCCTGCTGGTTGGCGGTGGAAGCACCCAGCCGCCCCCAGGACTTGTTTCCTCGGACCCCGACCGCCTGGCCTGTGCTCAGCACTGCTGCTCTTGTATCTCCGCGTCTGTAGGAATTTTGTGAACTGCTTCATCGATTTTCCCAAGCCTCTGGTCGCGGCGGTCAACGGTCCCGCAGTGGGAATCGCCGTCACCCTCCTGGGGCTGTTTGATGTTGTGTATGCCTCGGACAAGGTGAGTGGGCTCTCGGAGGCCGAGGAGCTCGGGGGGGTGGGGCGGAACCTGCGGGCTCCCCTGTAGCGCTGCTGGTGGCAAGTGGGCTGTGTGTGGTTTGTGGGAGAATGGACGTAGAGTTTGCCCAAAGAATTCATCCAACTCGTTTGGCTGATTGGAGGTTTCCTTCATTCTTAACTCGGATTTTCCAGAACACCAGTGCTACTGTGAACACGGTCCCAACTCTGGGGTTCAGTGTTTAAATCAGACTGTGTAACAGCCCCCCTTTCCTGCTTTTACTTTCCTCTAAAACAGCCAGGAGACCCTGGAGAGCGTCTTACAGGGGTAGCGTCACCACAGATGATGCAGGTGGATCCTGTGTTTTTTCTAAGTGAATGGGAATTTAGATATTTAGAATTGTACAGTAAGAGACGAGACCCTTCTCTGCTCGCTCTCCTTGGTAGATAAGAAAACTGAAGCTCCAAGTCATGCCTTGCCCAGAATCAGATCCACCCTGTGTTCACCACTGAATTACGTAGATTTTGATTTTTAGTCTTTCTACGGCAGCAGTATATAGGCGTGTGTCCCAGGGGAAAGTAAAATGTTGAAAACCATGGAAAAGTATGCAGAAAAAATTTCAGTTAAAAAACACTTCATGGGAGGGAATTGGCAGATGCAGGTCAGATGTAGGATGAATGGGTCTAAGGACCTGACTTCCAAGGTGAGGACTGTAGTCAATCAGAACGTACTGAATAAGGACCTGACTTCCTGGTGAGGACTGTAGTCAATCAGAACGTACTGAATAAGGACCTGACTTCCTGGTGAGGACTGTAGTGAATCTGAACGTACTGAATAAGGACCTGACTTCCAACGTGAGGACTGCAGTCAATCAGAACGTACTGTATTCAGGATTTCTGCGTAAATGAGATGATAGCTGCTTTTACACAAGAGGGAAAATGGGTGTCTACGGGAGATGGTGTCAGTTTTTCTAGTAGTGTGTCGCTCCCCCTCTTCGTGGAGGAGCGACACTAAACCCTGCGCTGTTCTTTTGTCTGCTCGGCCCTCCCCGGGTTTGCTGCTGGTTCTTCCCGGGTTGGCTACCGACCCTTCCACCTCCGTGGAAGGGCGGTTTCCCCTGCCACATTCCCCACTTCCGCGGGGGAGTGGCACACTGCCCGCCGGCTCTCTCGGGGGCTGCACAGGTGTTCCTCTTAGGTGTTCCCCTTAGATGTTCCTGGTGCATGTTGTCTCTCTCCTCCTTTATAGTCCTCTTCCACCAATCCCAACTCGGCTGCCCACACGCCGAGTACGCTGCTCTCCTCCAATCAGGAGCAGGTCCTACAGTTTATTGGTTGAACTGGAGGCAGCTGTGTAGAAGCTGTTTCTCCCTTCTCAGCGCCATATTGTGGGAGAGCAGATGCATAGAATAAGTCTTAATTCCAGTAACTTAGTCTAGTCCGAGTTGCTCCCCACAGTAGTGCAGTCATTTCACTCTATCTTTATTATATGCGTATCTTATGGTACAGCAATGATACGATATAGCAATCATTTTACTATATATTATGTGTATCTTATGGTATAGCAATGATATGATATAGTAATCTATATGCGTATTTTATGTTATCTTTTGTATATCATACAAAATAAATAAACATACAAAAGTTTACTTTAAAAAAAATAAACATTATCGCACCACTCAGATAACCAGTGCTAGCATTCAGCTTCTTTGGCTTATCTGGTTTCCCCAGTCCCTGCCTGCTGGACCTAGGCTGCTTCCAGTTTTGACAGGAGAAGCCAAGACTAGAACTTGAAGCTGGAATTTGGAACCACCTCTGACTTTGGCTTCTGGGACAGTAAGAGCTGCCGACCTCCACCCTCGTGGGGGACGTGATCGTTTTACCACTGAAAGGACTCCAAGGGTTAATCACGATTGGCTTCATCAGCAATGCCATGGTAAACGCTGGGTTAATAGTTAACCCATGTACCCAGAACACGAGCCCGTACATTCTACCCATTCTCTACTGTGGGCAGTGGGTGAGGACGCCTCCTAGCCTCTCCGTCAGCAGGTGATACCATTCTTACATAAGGAGACTAGAAGGTAGAAGTTATACAATCATATCTGCTCGAGATGTGCCAGGCACTCTGTCAGTACACACGTTACATGTAGATGTACATAACGTGTATAATTACACACGTGTGTGTACACATGTGTTCACGTGAGGCCGCCCTGTGAGGCCGATGTTCTCACTCCCCTCGTGCAGCTGAGGAGTCTGGCACAGACAGGGTAGAAGCTTCCCTAGAGTCATCCAGACCTCAGCCCGGCTGCCTCGCCTGCTCCCCCCGGAAACAGACGCCGACAGCCGTCAGCTTTGTGCGTACCTGTCTGCGCTCCTCTGCTATGGTCGCCGTTTTTTCTCAGTTTCCTGATTATATGAACTTTTCTTAGGCTGTGTCTTCTCGGAGTAATTTCTTGAGTAAACATTCTTTGGGGTCAAAAAAGAAGACAGGTGACATTAATAATGAAGTTGTATGTTATATTATTCTATTTATATGCTGTTTACATTATATCTTTACATCAGCTAACAAATAGGCATTAAAGTAACACCATGTCTGATTATAGGAAATGAAGACCTTTTAAGTATTCATTCAAAAGTATAAAGTATTTCCTAAATAGTTTTATACATATTCATATTATCAGTATATGTTAATCTTCTTTTGTAAAGAATTTATTGTTCACCAAGACACACGCAAAAATAATTCTTCAATCTAGAAAAGAAGTAAAACCAGTGTTCTGGATTCCGAGTCCTGAGTGCTGACCGTTACAGCACGGGGCCGCTTCCCTAAAAGCTGTGTTCTAATAAATAAATTGTAGGATCTGAAGCCAATCAAAAAACTTCTGTAGGAAAATCAAGGAAACAATTTTCAGCTGACATAATGAAGGCTAATTTCTGGAAAATATGTATTTACTTATTTATGTATTTGTTTGAGAAACAGAGACAGAACACTCCCGTCCACTGGTTCACTTCCCAGATGCCCCCAGTGACTGGGACTGGGCCAGGCCAAAGCTGCAGGCACTCGGAACTCAATCCAGGTCTCCCACGTGGGTGACAGGAATCCAACTACTTGAGCCGTCACTGCTGCCTCTCCTGGTCTACACTGGCAGGAAGCGGAGCAGGGCATGGAACCCAGGCACTACGGCTGGGACCCAGGCATCTGAACCGCTAAGCTAAGTGCCCACCCTCAGAAGTGTTGCTGAAGTATATCTGCAAAACGCTACATAAGCAAACTAAGCTAAAAATGAGCAATGAAGAGGAATGAATGGCTCACAGATAATGGACTATAATAGCTCTTAAAATCACATGAGAAAGACATATAGTAAGAACATGGAAAATAAGCCACAAAGCGGGAGAAAGCATCTACATGATGTCTACCTGATAGAAGTTACAACTTGAATATATAAAGAACTCCTATAATGTAATAACAAGAACATTAAACAGACTAACTTTATAAAAATGGGCAAAATATTTTAACGGTTTCATCCCCAAGAAGACACACATGGCTGATAAGTACATGAAAAATGCCCAGCGCCGTTGATCGTTAGGGACAGATGGATTAAAACCCCAGTGGGATGGAACTGCGCACTTTGGACCATGGTGAAGTAGGGAGACTTCATAACACTTTTTTTTTTTTTTTTTAAGATTTATTTGAAAGGCAGAAAGGAGAGAGAGATCTTCCATCCGCTGGTTCACTCCCAAATGGCCACAGCAGCCAGGGCCGGGCCAGGCAGGAGCCAGGAGCCAGGAGCTTCTTCAAGCGCTCCCACGCGGCGGGTGCAGGGGCCCAAGCACCTGGGCCATCTTCCACTGCTTTCCCAGGCACATTAGCAGGGAGCTGGATCAGAAGTGGAGCAGCCAGGACTTGAACTGGCACCTCTATGGGATGCCAGCACTGCGAGCCCCCTATGACAGGGTTTGAGGGTGTGGAATGATTGGAATTCCTGTAGACCACTGGTGGTATGTCACATGCTACAGCCACTTTGGAAGACAGCCAAGCAGTTTTCTTTTTTTTTTTTTTTTTTTAAGATTTATTTTATTTATGTTGAAAGAGTTACAGAGAGAAGGAGAAACAGAGATAGAAAGAGGAAAAGAAAAAAAAAGATGCTTCATCGGATCTGCCACGTGGGTGTGGGGGCCAAAGTACCGTGCCGTCTTCTGCTGCCTTCCCAGGCTGCACCACAGTGCTGCCCCTGCAGTCTTGTTTTTAAGTTAAACATGCACTCACACGACCCAGCAGTTTCACTCCTGGGTATTTACCCATGGACACTGGAAACTTATGTTTGCCAGAGACCTGCACACAATGTTCAGAACAACTTTTTTTATTAGAACAATCTATATAAGATCTATCCTTTTCAGTTTCACTGAGATACAACTGAAAAATAAGAGTTGTATTCTGATCCAGCTCTCTGCTGTGGCCTGGGAAAGCAGTGGAGGATGGCCCAAGTGCTTGGGTCCCTGCACCCACGTGGGAGACCTGGAAGAAGCTCCTGGCTCCTGGCTTCCAATTGGCCATTATGGCCATTTAGAGAGTGAGCCAGTGCATGGAAGGTATCTCTCTGTCTGTCTGTCTCTCTCTCTCTCTCTCTCTCTGTGACTCTGCTTTTCAAATGAATAAATCTTTTTTTTAAAAGTATATATTGGGCTGGCACCACGGCTCACTAGGCTAATCCTCCGCCTTGCAGTGCCAGCACACCGGGTTCTAGTCCCGGTCGGGGCGCCAGGTTCTGTCCCGGTTGCCCCTCTTCCAGGCCAGCTCTCTGCTGTGGCCAGGGAGTGCAGTGGAGGATGGTCCAAGTCCTTGGGCCCTGCACCCCATGGGAGACCAGGAGAAGCACCTGGCTCCTGCCATCGGATCAGCGCAGTGTGCCAGCTGCAGCGGCCATTGGAGGGTGAACCAACGGCAAAAGGAAGACCTTTCTCTCTGTCTCTCTCTCTCTCTCACTGTCCACTCTGCCTGTTAAAAAAAATTAAAAAGTATATATTAAGGTGTACTACTTGTGAGTTTTCATAGTAGCCTATTCATAGTAACAAACTGCTGGAAACAACAACGACACTTACTTGTGGAATATAAATAAATCGACGCTGGCATTGTGGCATAGTGGCTGAGCTGCCCCTGCAAGGCCCGCATCCCGCCTGCATCCCAGCTGCCTCACTTCAGTGCAGCTCCCTGCTAACGCGCCTGCAAAAGCAGCTGAGCATGCCCCAAGCGCTTGGGCCCCCGTGCCTGTGTGAAAGTCCTGGATGAGGCTCCTGGCTCCTGGCCTCGGCCTGGCCCGGCCCTGGCCATTGCAGCCATTTGGGAAGTGAACCAGTGGTTGGAAGACTCTCTCTCTCTCTCTCTGCCTTTCAAATAAATAAAAAAAGAAATGTATAACTATTTCATCATATAACCATATAATGGGTTACTGCTCGTTAATAACAAGGAGCAGACTGTCCGCATATGCATGAGTAAGGGGCCTCTGAGAAGTCTCACGCTAAGCGACAGAAACCAGACTCAAAGGCTGCGGAGTGGAGAATTCCCCTCTGTCACATTCCAGGAGGGCAAAACCGGGGGCAGAAAGCAGATGCGTGGCTGTGTGGGGTGAGAGGCAGGGCTGCCTGCGGAGGGGCCTGGGGAACTTGCTGGGACGGGGGGCGTGTCGCAGGCAGGTAACGGTGTGGCTGCATCACTTTATGTCAGACTCCTCGAGGGTAACACACACTGGACAGGACTGAGTTGTGTTTGTGTTTGTACCATGAATCCTCCTTGAAATCGCTTTAGCATTTAAATAGTGTGAAGTGGTCATCAAACAATGACTTGTAAAAAGCACGCGTGAACAGACAGTTTTGTCTTCTCTCACCCCTACCACGGGCAGGCGACGTTTCACACTCCATTCAGTCAGCTCGGCCTAATCCCGGAAGGATGCTCCTCGTACACTTTTCCCAAGATCATGGGCACGGCCAAGGTAACGTTGGGAAGCGTCACGGTAAGAGCCAGCGTGTCTTCTCTTTGCCAAAAGTGAGCCCACCCTCTGTGCCTCCCCTTGGATGAAAGACATAGGAGCCACTTAGTTGCTCCACAACTCTCAAAGAAGAGTTTTACCTGTGGGAAGTGTCTGGGACAGGGCGTGATTTGAGAGATGGTGCCGGCGACTCCCCAGCCTCTGGTTGCCTGATGCCGGCTGCATTGCCGGCAGCACAGGGCTCATCCTCAGCTGTGTGGACTAGTAGAAGTGTCAGGGTTGTGCCAGCCTCCCTGCGTCCACTGAACCTGGCGGCCACTCAGCTGGTCAGCAGCACCCCCTGCAGGTGACGTGGTGACACCTTCAGGTCCAGGGTGGTGTGAAGTTCCCGCAGGTGGGAGGCTTCGTGGGGGCTGGCCACTTCCAAAGCCAGTCAGTCCCAGCAGCTTCCCATCCGGCCATTTGGCAGCACCACTAAGGGGCTGTGCCAGTCCACCCTGTGTTCACGGAAACCTCACCGCCCTGACTCCGAAGGGAGCAGGACACAGCTGGAGAAGTGGGCCAAGGGAGAGGCTAGGCCAGGGTTCCTCGGCTTCTCCTAGGTGGGGGTGGGGATTGAGCCAGTTTTCACCAGTCCTAGGCCCTGGCTGTGAGTGTATGCATTTTCAAATCTCACTTTGCAGCCACATTCCCTAAATTGCTATCTGGATTTGGTCTTTGAAAGGCTGGGCCGAACGGCTCTGCGGCTCAGAGCATTTGGCTTGCGCTCACTTTTCACTGGCCACAAACCAGGTGCAGAGAGGCTATCCGCTTGATGACTTCAATTTTTTTTAAGAAACTCAATGCAAGTCATCTTTGCTTCAGATGCAGCTCATTTGAGTGCCTGTGCAGGTAAGAAAAACTCAGAGCTAGACCACTGGGCAGAACTCCCGGGAACGGAATTTGGAAGGTTTCTGAAGGTTGGCCCCGCATCTGCAATGTTTCTTTGCTCCCTTTTCTCTTTTGTACCACTTCATAGTGCTTAAAGCACAAAATGCTGCTGTGGGCTGTGTGTCAGCGTCCACGGCAGGTCACTGCTCCCAGGTTCCCAGTCCTGCCTCCGTGGAGACGCACACACACACACACACACACGGCAGCATGCATGCACACACAGCAGCAGCACGCGTGAGCACACACATGGCAGCGTGTGCACACATGGCAGCACGTGTGCACACACACACGACAGCACGCGTGAGCACACACACGGCAGCACACGTGAGCACACACACATAGCAGCACGTGTGAGCACACATGGCAGCATGCGTGCACACACATGGCAGCATGTGCACACACGGCAGCACGCATGAGCACACACACAGCTGCATGCACACACACGGCAGCACACGTGTGTACACATATGGCAGTGTGCGTGCACACACACACAGTTTGCAGATCGTTGCCCAGTGAGAGCACCAGCGCCCCCTCTGCTGAGGCCCGCCAGGGAGCTCCAGGGACCCCGGCAACGCCGTCCCCTGCAGTCGCTCGGTGCATCACCGAAGCTTCGCTGCTTCGTTGCCTGAGCGAGGGTCGCAGCCTTGCTTCCCCTTTCAGGCTGCGGAGGTGCTCATTTTCGGGAAGAAGTTAACAGCGGCAGAGGCCTGTGCTCGTGGGCTGGTCACTGAGGTTTTCCCTGACAGCACTTTCCAGAGGGAGGTTTGGACCAGGCTGAAAACATACGCAAAGCTCCCCAAAAACGTGAGTTTGCATCTTTTACTTGCAGGGACCATGGACATAATTTCCCAAGTCAGAAAAAGACACATTTTTAATGGGCTCTAAGCGCATGTAAATTTGGGATGGAAAAGAACCGTAGTAAGGCTGAGAATACTGATTTTTACAGAACTTAGCAAAGAGACTTTCTGTTCCGATGGGAGGGCGGGGGTGCTTCTTCATGGGGAGAACCAGCGGAGGAGGCGTAGCCATCCGCCAAGGATGTGTGTTCTGCTGCCCAGGTGTGAAGCCGGGCACGGGGACTGCACTTCAGTAGCACGGGGTAGTCGCTGACCAACTGCTCTCTACACCTGCTATTCCCAGTGAGGTCCTGGAACCTGAGGCTTTCCCATCCGTGTGGGACTTCTAGGAAATGTGCAGTTGCAAGCCTGGCCCCGCCTCCTGAGATGATCTGTGGGCGCGTTGAACTCTGGGAGTGGAGAGCGCTGGCTTGCATCTCCCCTGTGTCCTGGGACTTAGGAGGATTAGTCAAGGGAGCACTGCAGAAAGGACACTGACATCTCAGAACAGTCCCACTCCTCTGGCGACAGCCCTTCGCCTGACTGTTGGTTCTGTTGTCTCAGGCCATGAGAGTTTCGAAAGAACTCCTCAGAAACTTGGAGAGAGAGAAGCTGCACGCTGTGAATGAGGAGGAGTGCAGGGCCATCCAGGGGCGGTGGATGTCAGACGAGAGCCTGAATGCCGTCGCGAGCTTCTTGTCCAGGAAAGCGAAGCTCTGATGGCCGCTGCGCTGGGAAGGCCGTGCTGTGACGTCGCCTCCTAACACCTCCGCTAACCTGCATCGCGCCTCTTTTGTTCAGTGCTAGTCTGTCGGTTGTAATGATAATATTTAATTAAAGCCTTGATGAATGAAATATTTTCTAAAACAAGCTTCAGCAATGTACTTAGAGGAGCAGGTGGTTAGACCAGCAGTCACAAAGCCCACGTCCCGGGCTGGAGCACCTGGGCTCGAATCCTGCCTCTGGCTCTGCCTCCAGCCTCCAGCCTCCAGCCAGTGCAGACCCAGCGAGGCAGAGGGGTGGCTCAGATAACTGCGTTTCTGCCTCCCAAGTGGGATAGTTCTAGTTCCCACATCAGCCCAGACGAGCGTCAGCCGTTGTGGGTGTTTGGGGGGTGACCCAGCGGGTGTGAGTGTATGCGCGTGTTTCTCAAAGAAAGAAGTAAAAATTTCTGATAATAGAGGGTCTTACATCTTTAGACAGGAATCGTTGTCTCCAAGAGCACTGGAACATGGTGCCTGGAGCCCTGCTTTGGAAAGCATTCACCGCATGGCACGCGGACATCATATCTTCATACACCACTATGGCACTCTGACGCCCACACGCCGTGACGGACTGGATCGGCCCGAACACCGAGAGCCTGCTCACCACGGACTTGAGGTCCTCCGTGGGCTGCATGTTCTTCTTCAGCCACCTGGCGAGGGGGCAAAGGAGAGGGATAGTCTTCCTGAGAACCCAGTCAGAGTCTTAGTTTCTTTCAGTAAAATGTACAGTATTACTGAGAAACCAATCAGAATCTGCTTCTTTTTGTAAAATTTAATAAAGAGGCGTGAAATTGGCAGGCAGTGTTCTGTCTCCACCATTGTTTCCTTATTTGTTTATAGCCTTCAGGCTTGTGTAAGACGGTGTTTTCTAAGACTGACACTCGCAAGCTGCCTTGATGGTCTTTGCCGCTTCCTATCTTGAATGATGTCACACGTCTCGCTTGACCCCAGCTGAGGATGTAATTCCAAGGCCTACAGGAATTGGCATGGGCCAGTGCCGCGGCTCACTAGGCTAATCCTCCACCTGCGGCGCCGGCACCCCAGGTTCTAGTCCTGGTTGGGGCGCCAGGTATTAGTCCTGGTTGCCCCTCTTCCAGTCCAGTTCTCTGCTGTGGCTGGGAAGGCAGTGGAGGATGGCCCAGGTCCTTGGGCCCTGCACCCGCATGGGAGACCAGGAGGAAGCGCCTGGCTCCTGGCTTTGGATCGGCACAGCGCTGGCCATAGCAGCCATTAGGGAAGTGAACCAACAGAAGGACCTTTCTCTCTGTCTCTCTCACATTGTCTATAACTCTCTCTGTCTCTCTCTCTCTCACTGTCTAACTCTGCCTGGCAAAAGAAAGAAAAGAAAGAAAGAAAGAGAGAGAGAGAGAAAGAAAAAGAAAGAAAATTGGAATGGAATGCTTTGCTTTTCTAAATGCAATTTCTCCTTTTTGGCTTTTCCTTCAGGCATCAGCTTCCAAGTAAGTAACCCACCAACCCGCTTCACTCTCTCATTCCTTCTTTATTTGTTATGGTATAGCAGTTCCCCTTTTTCTGCATTTTCAGTTACATATGATAAACCACGTTCTGAAAAAACTGTATGGAAAGTTCCAGAAATAAACCATTCATGGGATTTTAAGTGATGCACTGTTCTGAGTAGTATGGTAGAACTTCACAGGGCCCGTCCCACCTGAGACGTGAACCATGCCTTTGTGCGGTGTAGCTGTGCTGTGCTGTGTCTGCCACCCACCCCTTAGTCCCTCAGTAGCCGTCTCGGTTATTAGACTGACTGTCATGGGATTGTGTGCTTGGGTGAAGTTAACCCTTATTTTATTTAATAATGGCCCCAAAGCACAGACTGGTGATGGTGGCAGTTTGGATATGCCGCAGAGAAGCCACAACAAGCTTCCTTGAAGTGAAAAGATGAATGTTCTCGAAAAAAAAATGCTGAGATTGCCAAGATCTGCAGTGTGAGAAGGTATTTTGAGAGAGAGAGGCCAAATTCACATAGCATTTATGACAGCATTTGTTACAACTGTTCTATTTTGAGCCGGCGCCACGGCTCACTAGGCTAATCCTCCGCCTTGCGGCGCCGGCACACCGGGTTCTAGTCCCAGTCGGGGCGCCGGATTCTGTCCCGGTTGCCCCTCTTCCAGGCCAGCTCTCTGCTGTGGCCCGGGAGTACAGTGGAGGATGGCCCAAGTCCTTGGGCCCTGCACCCCATGGGAGACCAGGAGAAGCACCTGGCTCCTGCCATCGTATCAGCGCGGTGCACCGGCCGGCAGCGGCCATTGGAGGGTGAACCAAGGGCAAAGGAAGACCTTTCTCTCTCTCTCTCTCTCTCTCACTGTCCACTCTCCCTGTCAAAAAAAAAAAAAAAAAAAAGAACCGTTCTATTTTGTTACTGCAGAAATTAACTTCTTACTGTGCCTAATTCATAAATTAAACTCTATAGTAGGTATTTATAGGAAAAAGCAGCTCATGTAGGGTTTAGTAGTGATGGATCTTGGAACATATTCTATAAACATAAGAGGGGACAATCATAATCATAATTCAAAATGCTTATAGAAAAATATATGAATAGAGGCCGGCACTATGGTGTAGTAGGTTAATCCTCTGCCTGCGGCACCTGCATCCCACATGGGCTCCGGTTCAAATCCTGGCTGCTCTTCTTCCCATCCAGCTCTCTGCCATAGCCTCGGAAAGGAGTAGAAGATGGCCCAAGTGCTTGGGCCCCTGCAACCACATGGGAGGCACGGAGGAGGCTCCTTGCTCCTGGCTGCGGATGGCTCAGTTCCAGCCGTTGCAGACATCTGGGGAGTGAACAGGTGGATGGAAGACCTTTCTCTGTCTCTACCTCTCACTGTCTGTAACTCTACCTCTCAAATAAATAAAAGTAAAATCTTTAAAAAAAGAAAATGTATGAATAGAAATAATTATTTTTTAAAGATTTATTTGAAAGTCAGAGTTACACAGAGAGAAAGGAGAGGCAGGGTGGGGGGGACTTCCATCCACTGGTTCGCTCCTCAATTGGCCACAATGGTCGGAGCTTCGCTGATTTGAAGCCAGGAGGCGGGAGCTTCCTCCAGGTCTCCTCTGTGGGTGCAGGGGCCCAAGGACTTGGGTCATCTTCCACTGCTTTCCCAGACCACAGTACAGAGCTGGATAAGAAGTGGAGCAGCCGGGACTCAAACTGGCACCCATATGCGATGCCAGCACTTCCGGCAGCGGCTTTACCCGCTATGCCACAGCGCCGGCCCCTAGAAATGATTACTGATGTCTGCTGAGCACTTACTAGTACTTAATGCCCAGCATCGTATTGTACCTCCCCAAAATTACGGCAGAAGTTGAACATGAGATAAGTGTGACTGCTTCTACTCTTGCAGGTTGAGGTCCTGAGACAGAATGAAGTAGCTTAGCCAGGGTCAAACTCATGCTGAGGGTCAGAAGGGAGTCCCCCAGTCCACTGCGGCAGCCTGCGGCAGCTCCTGCCCGTCCACCGATTACAGCGGAAAGATCTGGACAAGTGTGAAGACAGAACACTCGAAGACGCTGAAACTCAGCAGAAGCGGGGGATGGTGGAAGGGCTTCAGAATACAGAGAGGCAGCTGGGAAAGGAGGTTTCCCAGGCGTGAGAGAAAAGCAGCCGGGGCCGGGCATTTGGCACGGCAGGTTAAACTGCTGCTTGCAACGCCATCCACGTCGGGGTGCCTGCGGTGAGTCCTGCCTCTGCTTCCTGGGAAGAGGCCGCAGACCATGGCTCACGTGCCTGAGTGTCTGCCACACTAACGGGAAGCCCACGTGGAGTCTGGATCCCTGGCCTCGGCGTGGCCCAGCCGCAGGTGTTGCAGGCATTCGGGGAGTGAACCAGCAGATGGATGATCCCTCTCTCTTTCTTGCTTTGCCTTTCGAATAAATAAAAACTGTAAAATAACAGGAGAGTAGAGTACACTACTTTCAACAGTGGGTAGAACTTTAGGCAGAAGATCCATAGGAACAAAGAGGACTTGGACGACACCCTAGACCAACCGGACCGAACAGACTTGTACAGAAGATTCCATCCAACCAACAACAGAATACATGTCTCTAAGTGCACATGGAACATTCTTCAAGATAAACCATGTATTAAGCCACTGAGCAAGTCAATACATTTAACAAATGGGACCGTGTGGCATAGTGGGTAGAGCCGCTGCCTGTGATGCCGGCATCCCGTATGGGTGCTGGTTCAAGTCCTGACTGCTCCAATCCAGCTCCCTGCTAATGTGCCTGGGAAAGCAGTGGAGGACGGCCCCAAGTGCTTGGGCCCCTGCACCCACATGGGAGACCAAGAAGAAGCTCTGGGCTTCTGGCTTCAGCCTGACCCAGCCCCAGCTGTTGTGGCCATTTGGGGAGTGAACCAGCAAATGGAAGATCTCTCGCTCTCTCTCTCCCCTCCCTCCTTTCCTTCCTCCATCCCTCCCTCCCTCCCTCCCTGTAAATCTGAGTTTCAAATAAATAAAATAAATCTTTAAAAACACATGTAGCAAGACTGAAGTCACAACAACTTTTATGATCACAGTAGAATAAAACTAAAGTTCAACGGCAGAAGGAAACCTGGAAAACTCAGTGGAAATAAATGACACACTCTTGAGCAGCAACTGGGTCAAAGAAGAAATCACAAGGGAAACTGTAAAACACTTTGACCACGAACTGAAGCTCACAGGACGAAGGCAGGCAGTGCCAGGATGGAAACCTCAAGGCCTGCAGGCATCAGTGCCGCGGTGAGGTGCTGGCTGGGACAGCCTCGTCGCATGTCCTGGGACAGCCTCATCGCATGTCCTGGGACAGCCTCGTCACATGTCCTGGGACAGCCTCGTCGCATGTCCGGTGTCTGGAATGGGGACTCCGGATGCAGCGGAGACCTGAGGGCTCAAGTAGCGGCTCCTGCGCCCATGCGGGGAACCTGGATGGGGTTCCCTGCCCTGGCCTCCAGCAGGGGCCATTTCCAGCCTTTCTCTCTTGCTCTCTCTCTCCCCCTCAAATAAAGACATTTTAAAAAGAAATCAACATCTAAAGAAACTAGAAAAAGAGCAAGCAAAAACCAAAACTAGCAGAAGGAAAAAAATAAAGATAACATAAAGAATTTTTAAAAATAAACCAAGAATTGGGGCTGGTGCCGTGGCTCACTAGGCTAATCCTCCGCCTGTGGCACCGGCACCGCAGGTTCTAGTCCTGGTTGGGGTGCCGGATTCTGTCCCGGTTGCCCCTCTTCCAGGCCAGCTCTCTGCTGTGGCCCCGGGAGTGCAGTGGAAGATGGCCCAAGTGCTTGGGCCCTGCACCCACATGGGAGACCAGGAGGAAGCACCTGGCTCCTGGCCTCGGATAGGCGCAGTGCGCAGGCCGCAGCGCACCGGCCGCAGCGTCCGTTGTGGGGTGAACCAACGGAAAAGGAAGACCTTTCTCTCTGTCTCTCTCACTGTCCACTCTGCCTGTCAAAAATAAAAATAAAAATAAACCAAGAATTGATTCACTGAAAAGATAAAAAAAAAACTTTAAGTATAATGACAAAAAAGGGAACTCCACTAAAATTAAAAAGAAAGGGGATATTATCATTGATTTTGCAGAAGGACAAAGGATAGCTATAAATAACTGTGGCCCCCAAAATTGGATAATCTAAATGAAATCGATAAAT